GCACCTTCTCCAGGACTCCAGCGGCAGGTGGAATCTGCCTGCAACCTACAGATGTTTGACCCTGCATGTGCATGCCAGACTCCCCAAAACAGCAGGAGAGACAGGAGACAAGAAAGGAGGAAGACGAGGAGGAGGAGGAGGAGGAGGAGGGGGACGGTGGGAGAAGGAGGAGGGAGAGGGGGAGGAAAAGAAGGAGAGGGGAAAAGAAGGTGGGGATTGAGGAGAGAGGAAGTGGATGTGAGACACTGAGAGAAAAATGAAGCCAAGTGGAAGAAGAGGACCAGCTCCCCGCACCAAGAGTGAGCGGAATGCAGACATCATGGGAAGGAGCTGAACAGAAGGCAGCAGTATCAGGCCACACAGACCTTGTGAGTTAGCACGTGGATTGTGTAAAGCGGAATTCTATGCGCTTCCAAAGAGTAAGGGGAATATAGACTTAGGTGACGGTGATGTAGGTTCAGCAGTTGCGACAAATGCACCACCCTGGTAAAGAATGTGGCTGAGGGTAGAGGCTGTGCATATGTGAGGGCAGAGGTTAAAAGGGATATAAAAGTAATGAATAAAAGGAAATAATTTAAAACTATGCACACATATGTCAAGACTTTGGAATAGGGGCCCGCGTTGTGGTGCAGTGGGTTAAGCTATGACCTGCAACACTGGCATCTCATCTCGCTGGCTCCTGGCTGCAGCCTGGTTCAGCTCTGGCCGTTGTGGCCCTTTGGGGAATGAAACAGGGGATGGAAGACCTCTCTCTCTCTCTCTCTCTGTAACTCTGCCTTTCAAATAAATAAAATTGAAAATCTTTTTTAAAAAGCTTGGAATAGAGGAATATATAGAAATGAAATTTTCAAGTGTATATTACTCCAAAACCCCGTAACATCACAATTAACCATCTTTTAATATTTGAAGTATTTCCTTCCAAATTTTTCTCTGTATGCTCATATACAAGGAATATGCATGGATTTCAAAAATTCTTTACATTCCATTTTTCCACAAACATTTTTTAAAGTTCATGTACAGTGTGCAGTGCTTTTTTTTAAAAAAAAGATTTATTTATTTATTTGAAAGGCAGAATTACAGAGCAAGAGGGAGAGACAGAGCAACCACAAGGTCAAGAGCAGAGCTGTTCAGTAGACATATAATTAGCCAAATAAGTTATTTGAAATATTTTGGTAGCCACAACAAAAAATTAAAAAGAAATAGATGCATTTAATATTTTAAATTATTTAGCACACTAAATCAGAAATATCATTTCACGTGAAGTCAGTGTAAAAATTATTGAGATAGTTTGCATTCCTTTTTTTCTCAACCAGACCTTCAAAATCTATGCATATTTTACTGACAGCATATTTCAGTTCGAACTACCCACATTCAAGCACCCAATAGCCATGTGTGGCTCATGGCTACTGAGTTGGATAGTACAAGTTTGGAGTCAAAAGCTGAAGCTAAGGACCAGTTAAGCTGTAGAATGAGTGGTCGTGAGCCTCGGGCAGCATTGATTTTCTTAAGGTCATGTTAATGGTTTAATGTTGCACTTAATTCAATAGACAGAAAGGCTAAGAAGTCACAAACCACATTACTCAGTGAATGTGCGGACACCACTCCCTTGAACATAGAAGTAAGCAGCTCCACACAAAGTCATTAGCAAGTTGGAACTGTTAAGGAAACATTGTGATTCTATGCATCAAATACTCTGAAGTGTCTCAAAAGTTGCTCTGACTTGCCATTTTTCTTAGTAGCGTAGAATCCACTTTAACCTCAAGTTTTCTTTCAAATATTTCATTTCAATGTGAGATTTAAAGTAAATTCCCTCTGATTTCCTCACTTTGAAATTAGGTTTGTAAACCTTTCTAAGCTAATCAGAAATTCCCCGCCCACTGCCTTTTTTCTACATGAGCCGTTTGACCTCCCTCGATCTCTTTTCCACAAACGTGATGAAGAGATTACGTAATTGCTACGATTTAACACCTGATAGGTGACACTGTACGAGACAGGCGCAGTGCTCAGTATCTTTGCTGCAAGCTCCTGAGGTAAGTACTGCATTATTCCAATTTTCTAGATTGAGATAATGAGGCTTAAAGAGCCACTTGCTCAAGTCCGAAGAGGTCTGTTAAGTTTGCTGAGGAAGCCTAATATATCATGAGGGGCTCCAGAGAAACTTCCTGCCGGGACAGTTGAAACTAAATCTTGAAGGATGGGCTTGGGTTCAGCCAGGAAAAGGCTGAGGGGGCTGGGGGAGGGGGGAGAGGCCCAGGAGGAAGGCCAGGGCCGGGGCCGGGGGACTGGACGGCTTGGTATCGATGGAGAAAGATTTGGCTGGAGCAGCAATCCCAGGGCCAGATCATGAAAAGTTTGGATTTTATCCAGAGGAGAATGAGTAACCATTGAAAGACTGCAAGCATCAGAGTGACGAGCTAAGATTTGTTTTTAGAAACAAGATGCCAGGAGAGGACTTTGGGGCATTGTGGTAACCCAGGCAGGAAGTGAAGAGGCCTGAACGAATTGAGGAGAGCTTGTCTGAAAACGTCCTTTCTGTTTCACGTTTTATTCCCTCTGCCAAGGCATCAGCGAGCGAGGTGGCGAAGTAAAGAGAGGAACTTTTCGCAAAGGGCTGAGCGTTCTTCTCTTACTGAGCAGATGGTTTTTTCTGAGGGTGGCCAAAGCTGAGAGAGGAGACGAGTACAGTCCTTTGAACTTGCTCCTCTTGCTACCACGGTCCAGGCAGGACTTTGGTCTCACGGGATAATTATTCCTGCCCCAAAACAAACTGGTTTGCAATTTTATTGCTCTCTTTCTCCAGAAAAAGTTCAAAAGAGTTCAAAAGATGGTGACTCGCCAAGAAATGAGGAATATTATTTTAGAAGCTCTTGATTTCATTAAGTTTATAAGGGATTTAATAGTAACATAAAGATGCCCGAGTTTTGCACCACTTAAGCCAACGGTTTTGGTCTTCATTCACTCCCTTAATAGATATCAATATTCACATGCGCAAGGGTCCAGGCCGGGTGCTAAGAAGATGGGACCACACGCAAGGGTGCATCAGAAGTAGACTTGACCTGCCAGATGCTTATTGATTCTCAGAACATAAGACAGGAATTAACTGACACAAAGTTGTATTTAGGGGCTGGCATTGTGGTGCAGAGGGTTTAGCTGCTGCCTGTGTTGCCGGCATCCCATATGAGCACCAGTCCAAGTCCTGGCTGCTCCGCTCCCCATCCAACTCCCTGGTAATGCACATGGGAGGGGCCAGTGCTGTGGTGCAGCAGGTTAACGCCTTGGCCTGAAGCGCCATATGGGTACCAGTTCGAGACCCAGCTGCTCCACTTCCTATCCAGCTCTCCGCTATGGCCTGGGAAAGCAGTAGAAGATGGCCCAAGTCCTTGGGCCCCTTCACCCATGTGGGAGACAGGGAAGAAGCTCCTGGCTTCCGATTGGCGCAGCTCCGGCCATTGCGGCCAATTGAGGAGTGAACCATCGGATGGAAGACCTCTCTATCTCTCTCTCTCTCTCTCCCTCTCTCTGCCACTCCTCTCTCTTTGTAACTCTGACTTTCAAATAAATAAATAAATCTTTAAAAATATGCACATGGGAAGGCAGCTGAGGATGACCCAAGTGCTTGGACCCCTGTCACTTAAATGCAAAACCCAGATGGAGTTCCAGGCTCCAGGTTTCAGCCTGGTCCGTCCTGGCTGTTGTGGCCATTTGGGGAGTGAACCAGAAGATGAAAGCTCTCTGTCTCTGTCTTTCCCTTTCTCCTTCTGTGACTCTGCCTTATTTTTCTTTTTTAGGTTTTTTTATTTATTTGAAAGGCAGAAATACAGAGAAGGGAGAGAGAGAGAGAGAGAGAGAGAGAGAGATCTTCCATCCTCTGGTTTGTTCCCCAAATGGCTCCAACGGCCTGGCTGGGCCAGGCCAAAGGCGGGAGCCAGAGGCTTCATCTAGGTCTCCCACATGGATGCAGGGGCCCAAGCAGTTGGGCCACCCTCCACACTTTCCCGGGCACATTAGCAGGGAGCTGAATCAGAAATGGGGCGGCCAGGACCCAAACCATATGGGATGCTGGTGCTGCAGGCAGAGGCTTAGCTTTCTATGCCACAGCGCTCGCCCTGACTCTGCCTTTGCATCAAATGCTATCACAGTCAAAGAGGGGACTACCCACAGGTGATGAGGAGGAAAAGGTTAGTAAAGAAGAACTTTGCATTTAAAGTAGACACTAGTTGATAACAACATCTGGACTTGCAGAAGTTTTAGAAAGAACACTTTAAGTCAGTGTTTCACAGACCGGAGTTTGAGAACAAGTTTCTAAAGAATGTTGTTGGGAATTCCACGTGAAAAGAGTTCTGGGGGCAGGCATTGGGGCAGCAGTTAGGCTGCCATATCAGAAGTCCAGGGTTCAAGTTCCACCTCCACTTTCCAATCCAGCTTCCCTCTAATGCACATCCTGGGAGACAGCAAATGATGGCTCAAGTACCTGGGTCCCTGCCACCCACATGAGATACCTGGATGGAGTTCCAACCAGCCCAGCTCTTGCTATTGTAGACATTCGGGGAGTGAATCAGCAACGGAAGATCTCTCTCTTTCTCTCTCTCTCTCACTCTGCCTCTCAAACAAATGAAAAAATAAATACCCTTTTAAAAAAGATAGTTCTTGACTATGCTGGTAACTGATTGATTTATTCTCAGCTTCATGTCTTTCCCTCTGCTTTGTTCTGTTTTACAAGAAGTGGTTCCTTGCAAATGACATCCTTGCAAATGACATTTACCAATTTCCTTGTAGCTTGGTTTGGCCAGTGGAAGCAAGGGTACAGACCAGGGGCCACAAGAAGCGCCTGTCCTCCACTCGGTGTCTCACGCACTGTCCCAGCATTGGCTCATGGCTGCACCTCTGTGTCTTCATTTGCACACGGGCAGCCCCTCTTCATGAGCCCCATAGCTGCTGGCTCCTAGATGCTGGTGTGTTGGTTATTTATTGCTGCGTAATAAATTACCTAGAAACTTAACAGCTTAAAACAACAACCATTTTATTATCTCACACTGTTCCTGAGATGTAGTAATCTGAGAGTGACTGGGCCAGGTGGCTCTGGCTCAGGGTGTCTCATGAGGTTACAGTCAAGATGTTGGCTGGAGTTGCAGTCATCTCAAGGCTAAAGCAGGGCTGAAGAATTCACTCCCAAGCTCACTTACTTGGTTATTGCCAGGACACAGTTCCTAGCTGGCTGTTGGCCAGAGGCTTCACCTTTCTGCCAGCTGGGCTTCTCCTTAGAGCTGCATACAACATGGCAGCTTCCTTCTCCAACAGGGCGGTATCCAAGATACATATATATGGAGAGAGGAAGGGAGGGAGGGAGAGAGAGAGAGGAGAGAGGGGAGATATAATTTCTTAGTAAGGTAATATCAGAATAATATACATACCATCACTTCTGCCAGATGCTATTGGCCATGTAGACCAACAGTAATACAATGTGTGAAGGGGTTACATAAAGGTGTGCATAAGAGGAGGCAAGAATAACAGAGGGTGATTTCAGAGGCCAGCACCACAGGCCACCTTCTGATCCCCAGTGATTCATGTCCCTCCCACATGCAAAATTTACCCACTTCCTCCTACAGTCACCAAAATTCTCAGGTCATTGCAACATAAGCTTGAAGTCTGGAATCTCACGATCTAAATCAACTCTTGTACAGCTGAGACTCCCTGGATCTGTACCTTGGAGTTCCTTGAGTGCAGTTCCTCTACACCTTTACAATGGAAAAAGACAACATATCTGCTCCTGCATAAACTCTACACAATGATGAGACAGGCACAGCAGGTACCGGCTTTGGATATTCCTCTTCAGAAGGGGGGAAATGGCAGGCATGAAGGAGTCCCTGTTCTAGTCTAATTCTGAAATGCAGCTAAGCAAATGTTTAAAGTACCTTAAGTCTCAAGCCCTGAGAATAATTCTCCCCAGCTCCAGGTTCCATGTTCTGGGGTCTTGGTTCTGTTCTCTGAATCATCCTCCTTTTCTCATGAAAGACAGCCCGTTTGAGGCCAGTGTTGTAGTGCAGTGGGTTAAACCGCTGCCTGTAACACTGCAGACATCCTGTATGGAGTGCGGTTTTGAATTCTGCCTGTTCTACTTCTGGTCCAGCTCCCTGCTGATGCGCCTGGGAAAGCAACAGAAGATGGCCCAAGTGCTTGGGCCCCTGCATCCAAATGGGAGACCTGGAAGAAGCTCCTGTTTCTTGGCTTTGTTCTGACCAGCCCTGGCTGTTGCAGCCATTTGAGGAGTGAACCAGTGGACGGAAGTTCTCTCTTTCCCTCTCTTTCTCTCTCTATCAATATCACTGTTGCTCTGCTTTTCAAATACATAAATGAATCTTAAAAAAAAAAAAAAGCACGGCCGGCGCCGTGGCTCACTGGGCTAATCCTCCGCCTAGCGGCGCCGGCACACCGGGTTCTAGTCCTGGTCGGGGAGCCGGATTCTGTCCCGGTTGCCCCTCTTCCAGGCCAGCTCTCTGCTGTGGCCCAGGAGTGCAGTGGAGGATGGCCCAGGTGCTTGGGCCCTGCACCCCATGGGAGACCAGGAAAAGCACCTGGCTCCTGGCTCCTGCCATCGGATCAGCGCAATGCGCCGGCCGCAGCGCGCCGGCCGCGGCGGCCATTGGAGGGTGAACCAACGGCAAAGGAAGACCTTTCTCTCTGTCTCTCTCTCTCTCTCACTATCCACTCTGCGTGTGGAGGAAGAAGAGAAAAAAAAAAAAAAAGCAGCAGCAGCCCATGTTTGTAACCAAGGCATTTTCTCAGCCTATTTCTTGCCCTCGTAAGGGTCCAAGAACATTTTTTCATTTTGTCCTAGCCCTATTCCTTTTGATCCAAAGTGGCAATCTTTCTGTATTTATCCTCCTTCTCCTCCTTCTTTTTAAAGATTTATTTATTTATTTGAGAGGTAGAGCTACAGAGAGAGAGAAAGGTCTTCCATCTGCTGGTTGACTCCCTAAATGGCTGCAGTGGCTGGAGCAGGATCAATCCGAAGCCAGGAGCCAGGAGCTTCTTCCGGTCTCCCACGTGAGTGCAGGGGCCCAAGGACTTGGGCCATCTTCTACTGCTGTCCCAGGTCACAGCAAAGAGCTGGATCAGAAGAGGAGCAGCCAGGATACAAACTACAGGCAGAGGCTTAGCTCAATACACTGGCCACAGCACTGGCCCCATATACTTCTTTTCAAAACTTTGTGGGTTCTCTGTGAATCTTCCTGGGGTTCACTTCATTGGATGAAGCCACACCCATAAATATTTGTCAGGTAAGCTCTTCTGTGCCTCAAGCTTCGGGGAAGATGACTGGGGGATAATGACTGTGAGCTTCCTGGATGCTTTACCGTTTTGTTGGGAGACGTGAGATGCGTTTAAACATCTTTAGATGATCTTTTGTCTGACTGAACAGCATTCTGAGCCATAGCCTTAAATCTTTCTGAGATTTAAAAAATGTATTTATTTATTTGAGAGGCAGAAAGAGATAGATATTTCATTCTCAAATGCTCACAACAGCCAGGGTTTGGCCAGGCTGAAGCCAGGAGCTAGGAACTCCATTCAGGTCTCCTACTTGGGTGGTAGGGACCCAAGTACTTGAACCATCATCCAGTGCTTCCCAGGATACACATTAGCAGGAAACTGAATTGAAAGCAAAGGAGATAGGACTCAAACCAGACACTCCAATATAAGTTAAATACCCACACCTAACTTCTCAAAACTTTTCATGTGTTAATGTGTATTGTAAATCTCCCAGAGGAATCTATAAAGATTTATTTATTTATTTTTATTTGAAAGGCAGAGTTACAGAGAGAGAGAGAAGGGGATACACACACACACAGAGAGAGAGAGAGAGAGAGAGAGAGAGAGAGAGAGAGAATCTTCCATCTGGTGGTCCCCCAAACGGTTGCAATGACCTGGGCTGGGCCAAGCTAAAGCCAGGAGCCAGGAGTTTCTTCCAAGTCTCCCATGTGGGTCCAGGAGCCCAAGCACTTGGGCCATCTTCCTCTGCTTTCCCAGGCACGTTAGCAGGGCACTGGATTGCAAGTGGAGCAGCTGGAACTCCAACTGGTGCCCATTATGGGATGCCAGCACAAAGATAGCAGTTTAACCCACTATGCCACAGTGCTGACCCTTAAAATTAAAAAAAAAATTACTATGTCACTTCCCTCAGGGTGCAGGCTTCATAGCAGCAGATGGCGGCTTTACCACCTGCCACACTGCAAACACTGGCCCCCCAGAGAATCTCTAACACGCAGTGTTTCCCACATGCTTTTGATCACAGACCCTGTTTTGGTTTTGTTTTTACATACACCTAATAGCTAAGATACAAAAGGCATGAGTGTGAAAGCCATAGTTTAGTTTGACTGGAACAATGAATACATGAAGGAAAGTAGTAGAGAACATGTTGAAAAACAGTGAAGGCTGTACCAAGGTGTTTGCCCCGGATCCTGCAGGCATTGAGGAGCCACGGAGACCGCCTCGTGCTAGGTGAAAAGTTCAAGTTTTTGAACTGAACTGTTTAATCAGAATAAACTTTATTTTTTTATATGCAGGGTTATACAGAACAATTAACAAAATAGAGAAAAAGAGAATTACATTTGAAACCTTTCTCTTTATCCTGCCTTTGCCCAAGTTCAACAGTGGTGAAGAACCTGGGACTGAGTTTCAAGGGCCCCATATTGTTTGTGTTTTCATTGTGGTTGAATAAATCGAAAAAAAAAATAGAGAGACCTAAAATGTGACCGTGTGTGTGGGGAGTTAAAAGATGGAGGAGAGGCCAGCACTGTGGCCCAGCAGGTTGAGCCGCAGCCCGAGACACTGGCATCCCATTATGAGGGCTTATGACCCAGCTCCCTGCTAATGCACCTCGGAAAGCAGAAGAAGATGACCCAAGTATGTGGGCCTCTGCCACTCATGTGGAAGACACAGGTGGAGTTCTGGGCTCCTAGCTGTGGCCTGACCCAGGCCCAGCTACTGCCACCATTTGGGGAGTGAACCAGTGGCTGGAGGACTCTGTCTCTCTCTCTGTCTCTCCTTCTCTCTGTTACTCTACTTTCAAATAAGTAAAATCTTTTTTAAGAAAGACGGAGGAATTCTTTTGGAAAGAATTGAGGATAAGAAAGGAAGATGGAATTAAATCTGAGGGAAATAATGATATAATAATTGGGAAAAGAAGAAACATTCTTTCTGAAAGGCAATGCGTAAATGGTAGCATGGATGGATGTTATCTATTGCTGCAGAACAAATTACCCCAAGGCTCACACAATAAGCATTCATTATTCCTCATAGTTTCTGGAGCTGGACAGTTCCAGTTCAGAGTTTCTCATGTGACTGGGAGTACAGCCATCTGAAGGCTTGAGCTTGGACAGATCTGCTTCCAAGGGCACACACTCATACAGAAGACAAGTTGGGGCTGGCTCTCAGTGGGAGGCCTCGTTTTCTTTTCACATCTGTCTATCTTCAGGCATCTTTGCATCCATGGCAGCTGGCTTTCCCCAGAGCCAAGGATCCAAGGGGCCAAAGCAGAAGTTACATTGGCCTTTATTATCTACTTTCAGAAGTTCTGCACCGTTCCTTCTCCAGTCACCTACTTGTCACACAAATCATTCTAAGTTACCATGGAGGCTGACCACCACATCATGTCTTCCACCTTCCTAGGCTTCTTCATTAATACTGTTTTCTTCAACAAAGCAAAATAAATGCAACAAAGCAAAATAAATAAAAAGGGCACTGCGAAAAGGCTGTGGAAAAGGAGATTGAAAATAAGCTCAGGGATGGGCATTTAGCCGCGCAGTGACAATGCTGGTAAAGACGTCTATGTTCTGTATGGGAGTGCCTGGCTTTGATTCCCAGTGCCAGCTCCTCACTCTAGCCTCTTGCTAATCCAGACCCTGGGAAGCAGCAGTAATGGCTCCAGTGATTGGCCACCCACATGGGAGACCTGGATTGAGCTCTAAGGTTCTGGCTTTGGCCCAACCCTGGTCATTGTGGATACTTGGGGGAGTAAACTAGTAGGTAGGAGCTCTTGCTATTTGTCTCTCTCTTTCTTTCTGTCTCTCAAATAAACAATAAATAAGTGGTTTCTTTTTTAAAGATTTATTTACTTATTTGAAAGGCAGAGATACAGGTAGAGAAGAGAGAGAGAGAGATCTTCAATTGCTGGTTCACTCCCCAGATGGTTGCAACAGCCGGAGCTGGGCCAGGCTGAAACCAGGAGCCCCATAGTTTTTTCATAATTTGCATTTTTTACGAACTTTTTGAAGGCCCTTATGTGTGTGAAT